GATCTAAGAGAAAAAAGAAATGCTACAAACAAAAAATAAAAAATAAAAAAAAGTCAAGGAATCCTTGGAGTACTAGTTAGAATAATCTAGCTGTGTCTCGGGACAAGCCCTCACCAACCGGGTCCGTAAGACAATATCATTTTAACGATAGAACATTCTATCTATTGGAGTATGGAACACGGAAGGTGGGGGGGGGGTCCCGTCCCCAAACACCTGTGATTTTCTTTTCTTCTTCTGTGTAGAGAAAATCACAGGTGCTTGGGGACAGGAACCAACCCCCCCCCCCCCTTTCCGTGTTCCGTACTCCAAGGGTTCCTTGACTTTTGATTTTTTATTTTCTCTACACAAGCCCGTGTGAGAGTATATACTGTAAAATATGACATTTTTAATACGTGCTAATTTCAGCAAATTTTCATTTTTATTTTAATGAGGGTATTCAAACACACCTAGAAAACACATAATACACAAAATACACCATCCTGAAACCAAGCGCCTATGTACTTTTCTTCGCTATATTGTCAAACTTCCGAAAGTTATTTTCGAACGAGTTGTTGAAAATCGACGAAATCGACTTCTTCCGGCCGAGATCAGCTATGAGTGACGGAGTATTAAGGAATTTTTAAAAACGCGAGAAAGCGACGGAATGGTGCTGGATAAAAGATTGCAAATATTTTATTTCAATAAATTAGAGTACCCGATGCTGATGAACAGCCCAGTATACCCCAGAAACCCTTAAAGTAAGTCAGTCAGAGGTCCCAGGCGAAACCAATATGGAGGGGTAGTTGCCGGCCTTGGTTATTTTATAGTATAGAGGGGTAGACCTATGTACTTATCAAACGTCATTTACAGAATTACACGGGGAGCGCCTATAGATTTTTTGAGAAGTATATATTGGATTAAACTCATAAAGTGTAACTCAAAATCGCAAAGAAAATAGGGGGTCAGCGTGCATCCTACTGATCTAGTCAGATCTACGGAACATTAAAGTTGACCTTATTACACTTAAATTTCATCTCTTTGGTTAATTACTTTAACCCTTATTATATTTATTCAGATATACACATGGCAATAAATATAATGTTATTTTACCTAAAATAGTTTGAATAATATTTATCATTAAACAAATCTTGCAAATTAATGCACGTAAATTATTGTGTGATATTTTGGCACTAAAAATAACTTATCTGTATTAAAAAAACTTAATAGGCAATTAAAAATTTCTAATATATAACTTTTTACGACTTAACGACGACGGACCAAATTCATTTCTACAATAGAAAATTTACTCAAATTTTAATATGAGGTAAAGTGACTTTGTGTGAGTTAAAATCAATGAAAAAAAATATATGGTCATCGATATAGATTTTTAACAGGGAGCGTTTCAAAAGTAGGCAACGAAAATCGATGATTACTATAGGAAGTAATGGGAAAATGCGAGTTTGTGGTATAAACGTGATGATTAAAAAAATTCTGCAATAGAATTTTTGTTCATATTAAGATACAATGTTAAAAAGATAATTTAGTAGCAAATTATGCCAAAAAATAAATAGGTCATCGGCCTAGATTTTTAAGGGGGCGTGTTAGTTTCCGGTGAATGGCATATTTTGGGGAATTTTTTTTTTATTGAAAATACATTGGCAAAAGAAATTGTGTTCTTTTATTTCCCTATTCTTCAATTTACTTTTACACTAAATAAAAATAATAATTTAAAGTTGTTTAAAACTCTAGGGATGGTGATAAAGTAGGATTTATGTGAAATAAATGCGTATAATACTCTAGGGATTGTCTCAAAGTACGATTTTTGTGACCCACGTCCCATGGGAATCAATATCTGAATGCCTGTTTATTTCAAAAGTTAATATTTTCTTAGCATACCTGTAATTAACTAAAATACTTGTACCTGATACAGTGTTTGTCAAATTAAAAATAAGCATAGATAGTAAAAGTTTAAGTATAAGGGACTGTTTCAAGATAGGTGTTTTTGATTTTTCGTTATATGAGTGCTTTACTGTATATGATCAAATAGTCAAATACTGATGCATTCATCACGAAAATAGTACAGAATAAAGTGCCCCGCCACAGCATGATACGCCCGTCAAATATTGTTCAATAATCATAAATTGGTTAGGATGCAAGAAAATCAGGTATAGCGTTGATTAACAGATTGACACAGATTTCAGTGATCTAATTTCCATTTCTGATCATGCATCTCTAAGAGACTTGCAGTGTAGGGATTGATTTTAACAAATACATCATATAACTCTAAACTGGTTGTGTTAGAGCATAAGAAATATCCATCTGCAGCTTACTTAAACTGTTTATAGCAGATTTCATGAAATAATAGAAATGCTACAGGTTAATAAAAAAAAATCAAACATAAATTATAATTTCTTCAGACTATAAAATTCTAAGTGAGACATGAAGTCCTGCAATTTGTTGCAAATACCCGCGGTATTTAAAAATTGAAATATATATATATATATATTTTTCAATGAACACATGTATAATTAGTTTTAATTATATTATACAATACTAATTTAGTTTTAATTATACACTAAAACATAAATTTGTTTTAATTACATTACACCAATTGGAAGATCTTTATCTGGACTAGCCATCAAGAACTCCTAATTAACACAAGCAACTATGAGGCCATTTCTTTTTGCCCAACTCCCAAGAGATAAATTAAGATAACAGATGCATCAGATCTAGAGATGCTCTTAGCTCCTGACAATAAACTCATTAATTTCTGTCTAATTTGACATGCAAGTTTCTGCTATCAAAATTCTTCTTGACCAGTGCTTGATAATTATGCCCATGGGACAAACTGAATTCCTCTCAAAGCATAAACATTTGTTACAGATTGTTGTAAAGTATATAATTAAAAAATAAGTTTTTACTTAATTTAACATTTTTTTTAATAAGGATACAACTATTTTTTACATTTTTTAGGATTATGAAATTTAAAATTTAGAAGACTTAGTTTTAAAAAAAAATTCACTTAAATTAAAGGTCACAGTGACCTTGCAATAGGCCGCGACACACCTTCTACTTTAGCTGTATACATTTGCCAAGTTTGAAAGCTCTTGGTCTCATAGTTTTCTAGTTATGAGCCGGACAGGATTTTTCCATATTTGGCTATAGCATCTTCATTAAAGGTCAGAGTGACCTACTTTTTGTGTGCGACACACCTTCTACCCAAGATGTATCAGTTGACAAAGTTTGATAACTCTAGGCCTTATAGTATTAAAGTTATGAGCCGGACTCAAGAAAAGCTAACAGACGGACAGACGGACGGACACGAAGCCTATAACATAATACGTCCCGTCTTAAGACGGGCGTATAAAAACAAAAGGCTCATGAGTGACATTGCTCATCTTAGCACACTGGCTAGAGAAAAGAAAATCACTTAAGTATTGAGAGTTTACATGGGGGGGGGGGGGGGGGCTTGAATCTAAACAACCTGATGATGCTTCCATATCAATATAACAACTGGCTTTGCTGTTATTGAGCAGATATTTTTTTTAATTTATTCATTTGACACCCCCTCACACATTATGGTCCAGCCCTACCCCTGGGGCCCCCATTTGAACCAGTACAACTATTACTACCTTAAGATTTTTATGCCCCCGTTTCGGGGGTTTATCGTTTTTGTCGTGTCCGTCCGTCTGTCTAGCTGTTTCTCTGTCTGCAAAAACTTTAACCTTGCCCATAACTTTTGATTTATTGGAGTTATGATTTTCAATGGATACCAAGAACTTTGGCTTGACCTTTGAGATTGACCTACTTTAAAAAAGCAAACCTTGACCATAACTTTTAAAGAGTTAGGGCTAGTGCTTTCATACTTTACATATTTGATCCTTATGACATGACCTTTCATTAGATAACAAGAACTTTGACCCTTTGACCTTGACGTTGGAGTTTGACCTACTTTTTAAAAAAAATGAACGTTGGCCATAACATTTGAATGGTTAGGGCTAGGGCTTTCATGTTCTACATAAGTCATTTATGTGGCAAGACCTTTCATTTGATACTAACTACGTTGACCTTTTGACCTTGACCTTGGAGATTTTTGTACTTATTAAAAAAACTTTAACATTGGCTTACTTTCAAATTTCACAATTGTTTTCCAGTGAGAATACCCTACTCTTGGTACCAATTAATTAAATTTGCATTTAAGAAAAGCTTAATCTTTGCTATGTTGCCATACGGGGGCATCAGTGTTTCACAAACACATCTTGTTTCTTGGTATTTCTAGGTAAAACTTTGATCCCCTATTGTGTCCCACCTTAACCCCCCCCCCTGAGCTGAAATATCTATCAATTTGTAATCTGGGAATGTTTTCGCAAAATTTGACAATAATGCACCTGTGTTATTTTACTCTGAGTCTAGGCTACTATAATTGTAAAAGTATAAGAGTTTCACACACAGGTAAAATACTTTATTAATAAAGTATTTCACATTTCAGGACAAAATGATGACAGGTATAATAGATTTAACTATGGAGTATCAAACAGTACCATTGGGTATCAAATACATGTATTGATGAAATTTAATATACAAAAATATTTTTCTTGTATATGTTTGTTTATAATGATTTCACTCAGTCATTTTAAATAGCTACATGTATTAGCTGTTACCTTATATATAGACTTTGATTTTTTTAACTAGTTTTTTTTATGAGATATAACATATATACAAGTGGGACTGAACTAACCGTACACTAACTAGAGTTCCTAATTATTTCACTAAAACTTGCAATATTGTTACATATGAAAAGTTTGTAAAAATTTTCCCAGTGGCTAATCATATATTCTGGTCCTGTAAAGTTGGAGGTCTTTTGGTTGAGAGAGTAAAGGTTGGAACAGCAGATATTGGCACACTAAAGAATCCTCACTCCTCATTGCTCCCAAGTGTCATTCACTGCATCTTGTGACTTCTCATCAGGGTTGAATAATCTTGTAACATGTGTTAAGCTACAACAATTAATCCATGCCTGCAAGGTGCATTTTTGTAAATGCTGGAAATTCAAGAAAAATTCCTAACGACAATGGGTGGGGTGCTCCAATAGATGCAGCAATTTGAACTACCTGCATATTGTTGTTTCTACCTGAAATACACAAAAAACCTATGTGATATTCAGATAAATAAATAACATTCAAGGCCAAGCTTAAAAAATTCTTTGTTTGCAGTTGCCGACCTATAATTTTTAGACTGGGTCGGTAGGAAGGCATTCTTTTTTTTTTTTTCCTTATTTTGAGGTTTTCATAGACCTACTAGACATGAATAAGCTCAACTCTTGTTATAAACCACTGATTGATAAATTAAAAGTCAAAATTTAAAAAAGATACAGTTTCAATATTCTGAAAAATTGAAGAAAAAAATTAAATTACAAAATGGCTAAAAAAAGTTTGGGTCGGGTGCATTTTCAGTGGGTCGGTAGGCAACTGCAAACAAACATTTCTATTCTAAGCCCAATCAATCAATATCAAGTGTACACAATTTTTTGCATTTTGTTAACAAAGGTAAAAAAAACACTATGCCCCCAGGGGCAACAAAGATGTGAAAAGCTATTTTTAGCTTAAGGGTCACAGTCAAGGTCAAACTAAGGGTCATTTACCTTGGTGTCTTTTGAAAACTTAATTTGTGGATTATGCATACCAAATATGAAGTCTCTATCTGTTAAAAGTTATGGCTAAGGGTAAAAGTTGACAGCAGACAGACAAACAGATAAACAAACAGACAGGACAAAAACAATATACACCTCTGATCTATCGATTGGGGCACATAAAAAATATATGAATAAACTGAAAGACTCAAAATATAAATTAATATTCACACCCTTATAAAGCATATATATAATTAATCAGCATTGTCAGTGCACAAAGAATAGGAGAATGACTTTTAACATTTACCTCCCTTTTGAAAAAGTCATGAGTGAAGTTTTCATTTTAAAAGACTTCAAAAACATACCTAAACAAGTCTTGGGTAATTTTTTCTTCAACAGCAGGTATTTCCTCAGTACAAGTATCTCAGTCTGCAGATTTTTTCTGTGGTAAAAAAAAATAAAACATTAAATTTGAAATGAAAAGTACATTTGAGTATTAATTGTGATCTACATACATGTACATGCATCTTAAATTTGTATAAAATAGTATTATCAGTGTGATTCAGTTTTGAGTTGTTAATTTTTTAAAGCCGCGAGTGCATGTACTGTAAAAGATGAAGGCAACTTATTATTATCTTTTTTCGAGGAAACAATAATGGATGATACACAACTAATAGTTCAACAACTTTTTGCATTAAAACAAATGATTCAAGGGTTCAAATACCGTATAATTCCTATTAACCGCCCCGGGCGCTTAGAAAATTGTAAAAAGGGGGCGGTTTTTTTGGTACTCTATTTATGATATTCAATGCCATATTTTAACTTTAAAAAATCTTTTGAAAAAAAAATGATAAATACAAGGAACCAATAAAATAATGTCTAACTTTACTTAAAGTGAAGATAATCCACCCAAATTATGCTAAATTATTCATTACCATTGAAATATTGGATAATAGATAAGTTTAATTTTCACTCTCTTCAATATTTTGATACGATTCTTGTTGATTTTAATCACTTTACAGCCAGAGGGCCCTTATTTCCTGACAATTGAAAAAGACCCAAGGGGGCGCTTATAGGGGCAGTTAATATGGATTATACGGTATATGACGTATAAGATAGCATACTACATGCATACTTGATTCTAATGATTACATGTTAGTAACACAGGGGAATTACCAACATCTTTAAAGAAATTTGCTAGTTTAATTTCATTGCTATATAGGAAAATTTTATCAATGATTGAATGAAGCTAGCACAAAATACATATATTTAAAAATAAAGTGATCAGCCTGTTTCAACATTGCTGGTACTTTACTTGATTCATCTCTAAGCAGGTAAATAGCCAGGTTTATCTGCATGGCTTTATATTTAAGCTTGGTTGAATATTCTTTGAGAATTAAGTATGCTTATAAATTAACTCGGCTACTCTAATAAGGTATTTTGCTTAACATTTACAACCTATTGCAATTGCATCCAAAATCTTTAACATTTTCACATAGACCTAAAGATGCATTAAAAGAAATATAATGAATAAATGCAACATTTAGCCCAAAACAAAAAATCTAAATATGGTTACCTGTTCCAAATGAAATACTGAATAGTGTTGATATCACATCAGAAATTTCAAGCTTTGGCAGTCGTTAGGTCCTAGCATTCCCGGGCTTTTGTTTTCTCCTTCATTTACAAATACTTTTGTGTTCATTTAGCATCATGCATGTTTAGTTCATCTTTAGGACGAAAAGGCAACGTAACAGACATTATTCAGAAAAAGATCTTTCCTTACAAGTCATCTCCATCAGAAACATCAACTTGAACTTATTGACTCAGGCCACGGTCCAGAATCCGCTCTAGAATCGTATCAATAATGAGAGACAGGGGTCGTACATTTGGCCGTAGTTTATGACGATGTTTGTACTTGCTGCACTTCATTTTTTAATGAAAAACGAAGCTTCAAATGAACAAAGCCAGCCTAACCGGCGAGTCAGGAAAGTCATCAACATCACAACACATTTTTGTTTACTCGCCATGCGCTTATGGCAAATGTCGTAAAATAATCATTTACTTATAGAATCAACAAATGAATGTAAATCGAATTGTGTAAAATATTTTTGAATTGGGAATAAAGGTATGAAACTCTTTGTAAACATTAAAAAATGTATATCAATCATCTTTAATCAATACATAATTACATCAATCTGATTCAAGGCAGATGCGCGACTTCCTGCGCAGTGGCGCGAAATTTCGAATTAGGTCTGTCGTCCTTAAATGCTAATCAGTCACAAATATCGAGTAGTTTAAAATAATGAAAGAAAAAGTTAGGGTCAGTGATGTTAATTTTGAAATATTTGTCAAAATATGTGATTTTCAGGCAAAAAAGGTGTAAATTTGATGTTGATTTCTTTAATATTTTTTTCATTTCTTGGAAGTTTGTTGAGGGAAGGTGTAAAACGTAGTTTAAAAATATGAATTAAGACCTATATTAAATATTTTTAGCAATGTCAAAACGGAAAATATTCTCCCGAGTAAAATTAAGTGAGGCTAAATTTCCATTACATTAAATTTTATAAATGCACAGATTTGCAGAATTTTCTGCTAAATATCCTTCCACCAAAAGAAATAGTTTCTCATAAATCTTGCTTCTTTGTAGATGTTTGAGCACTTTTTTCGTTGAATGTTAAAAAATTTGCATTGTTGAATTTAAATATGTTATAAAAATCGAATTTCATTAAGTAGTTTTGAAGTAAAAGCTTCTGCGTAAATTTTTCTAAAAAGCTTACGAGTGACATACCTTAAGCCTTACTGATTATGTCTCAATATAAATTAGTGTTCATAAAGATCAAAAATAGCTTTATGCTGCACACCCGAAGACATATTTATTACTTGAAATTCCAATTCAGTCTCCCCAAAAGTCAATGATACTTGTATTTCACATGAAGCTTCATCATTTATGGCTGATATTGGAAGTCGTAGTACCCCTAGAAGTTTACATCCAGGTTCGTCGATGAAATTTGTATTCCCCATATCGGTAAAAAACAGGCAACACTTCAGGCACTCCTCATCATTCGGAATTTTCAAAATTTCGGCCTTTGTGTACCCTGGCATAACGTTTTCGCCTTTTCGGACGACTTTCAAGAAGACGTCACGACATCGCACAAATCCCTTTATTTTAACTTTTTTTTCCTCCAAATGATGACCCGGAATGAATTCGGGCCAACTTTGAAATCCATATGTGTATTGCGAGGGACGTCTAGAAATTGCTCCTGGGATTTGACTAAAGAGATATGCTCCTTCAACAGCACTTATGCTTCCTTCATCAGGCACAAACACTTCCTTATCTTCAAAATTTCTCCTAATTGCTTCTTCGACAAAGTAATTTTCAGATAAATCTCCGACTATAATTATGGTATTTACATCTTTGACAACTTCCTCTGCGAACAGTTCGTCCAACTGTTTTACTATGCTGTCAACAGTTTTCTTGAAAAAGCCCCTGAAAAAGCTGCGTTTCATTATTAATTTGCCTGCCTTAAAGCTCACATCATTTTTATAAAACTTGTTTTCCTCGATTATTTGTGTTAAATCGTCTCTATTATGTGCAACATTACACAGTTTAGAGAAAATAAGTGGTAAATTTACCCTCACTATAGCTGCATTGAATATACCTTTATCTTTATTTTCAGTGAACCTATCCAAAATATACAAAAAGTCATTCATATAGTTTTTCTTCATTTTTAGCATCACACTTTCTCCGAATAATTCTGTTAAAAAATTTACGATGGAGTTTTCGATAGATGTTTTTCCCCATGGTCCTCTTACTGTAGAAAGTATTTCTTCTAACGAGTTGTCTTCGCATTTCTGATGTATCGTGATTTCAACCGAATCTTGAAAAGAAAAGTTACAGTAGATTAATTTTCCTATTACTGTATAAAAATCCTTTTAAAATCTCTTAATTGATCTGCTTTCTGATTTGAACGAAGAGAAAACATTCAAATGTTGTTTGTAGCACATTTTAGTTTGGAGACACTTTTGTGAAAGGTGAGCAAACGCAGATGGCGAAGAACTCTGATGTTCTGAAGGTCCGTATTTGCTCTGCTCCTATTTTGCATTGTTTTGATGACTTTTGAACTGGAATACTGTTCGTTATCTCCATATTTTCCATTATAATATATTATAAAGCTTAAAATGTCATAGTAAGACAGCCTTTGTATGCTGTATAGGCTTCAAAAAGCAAAGGATTAAAGTCTGTTTGAATAACGCCGCCAGTTGCATGTAGTACACAATATACAGGTATACACAGAGACTATAATAGGTAACTATATGTGAATCAATTTCTAGCATCTAATGATGGATCTTGAAGCACTTGATTGGAAGGGGTGAACAGACAAGGCATTTTTGAAAGCGGTGCTTAAATATCTGCCTTTAATACCTCCTAATTTATTTTCACCTATAATTTTCACGAACATGGGGGTTAAAATTCAGTGCATTTAATTGGAACTCAGCCATTGCGCAATGGATTTTGTTGTACTTTTTGCTGCATACAATGACCTTGCTTTATCCTATAGTAACGTAAAATTCTTTCAGATTTCATGTGTTTCTTCTCTCTGAACGGCTCATTTGACCTCTGTTTCTACAAAATGGTGTGCATTATGCGTAGCTTTCTTTTTGGATAAAAAAGTTAGAAATGTATACAGTTGATTGTGATATATTAAAATAGGGATGTCAACGAATATTCGAATATTCATTCGATGAGTTAATATTCGAATATAAATGTATGATTCGAATATTCGGTTGTAAAGTATACAAGCATTTAACAAAGACTAAATCTTGCAAGTTTTATTTGAAATTGAACCCCATTCGTACACATGTACCGTGTACTAGGAATAATATTTGATTAAAAAAAGAAATCAAAAGACACTCCTGTTGGATTACTTTAAAAGTGTGAAGAGAGTAACTATTAGAATAAATTATTCTTTGATCATTTAACTCTTTACAACTTACTGAATTGTTATGTAACATACGAATAATGTCCACGTCATAGAAGTAGAAATTTACCATTTCCCCGCAAGCACCCTTTAGCGTGGTACACGTTTCTCTAAAGTTTAGCGTAAATAATATTCTGACGTTATTTTTTAATACAAAAATAACTTTTCTTATTTTATGAGATTTTAGCAAGTATAAAATAGAAGGAAATTGGCATTAGATTTAAGATTAAATGAACTTTTTAAAGTGCGTGAAAATGCGTGATTACGGGGAAACGGTATATGCGTGATTTTGCGTTAGAAATAGGAAATGGTATATGCGTTAAAATGCGTGACTGCGGGGAAGGGGGTTAATTATTGGTATAACAGTGCAAAGTACTTGAAATCAGTTTGTATTGTTAAAGGACACAGCTGTACAGAAAACACATTGATCCCTTGTTTATGTATATATCGTTAAATAATTATCAGGAAAATGAGGAAATTAATTAGCTAAAATTAATTGAATTTAATTATTCTTCAGTAAATAATTCTTTAGCGTCGTATAAAGTAGGAGTAATTAGTGTAGACTTTGGTACATTGTAAGACGATCAATTAATCTGGAACATACGAAAGAATATTTTGATTTTTCAAAAACAATTTTTAATTACATTTTGGATGTATATACTCTTCATATATTCTGTAAAATTTTAAAAATATAATTACATGTACTTTGCATTTACAAAACTATACTTGAAATTTTATTCCCAAATAATGACATAAAACCTATACTGGTTGACTAGATAGTGAAAATATATATTGTATAATGCAAAATGTATTTATTTTATCGAATATTCGAATATATTCGAATACTCCTATCAAATATTCGAATATCAATTATTGGCAATTTTGACATCCCTAATTAAAAGGTTTCCAAAGTTGCTTGGCGCTCGACTCGTATGTAAAAACATACTCCATTCGATATAAACATCAGGGTATACTCAGAACCATGTTTCTGCTGGTTATCGTGCATTACCTTTTTTTTTATACATATATGAACATATGCAAATCTCTTTGGTATCTTACTTTCCTCCATTAGAAGAAGTATTAAAAAGTTATTTTTTGTCATTACAGAGTGCTACACCGGTGTCGACTGATTACACTGAACGTTGACTAAGTCAGGATCTTTATAAGGGATTCCTAAGATATATCGATAATCCGATCGAAAATGGCGGAAACATTCTCTTTATGAAGCGTGTTCAGCTTTAAAGTAGTTCTATATTCGCACTACGTCATTAAGAAATACTAAAACCGGAGCCACACATCCATTTTATTTGTAATTAACTAAATTAGATAATGAAGAACGGTGCATAATACATGTACATGTACCTCCAATGTCAAGTATTATATATTTGGTTCCTGGCTTCAAAATTCCCAGTGGTCTTTTCCAATCAGAGGAAGCATATTGACAGAAGATAGAAACAGCCTCAGGGTGAAGAACGACAGTACAGCATTTCTTGTCTACACCAGCCTTTTAGAAAGACAGAGTGGTCAAAAATAAAATTTGCAGTGTACAAAAGAAAGCTAATATGCGATGTAAGAACAACTAAAACTAGTGCTAATTGTAACGGGGACCGTTACAGATGTTCCCCAAACGCTCCCCAACTCCCTTTTATAGTCATATTCCCTGTAAGCGTAATTAAATAAGACAAACTCTATGCATTTGAGACTTTAACAACGTTTACCCAAAAGTGTACTATGTTCATTCAAATTTTATCATTGCACACTTACACATGTTGATGCATGTGCGTAATGACCATATCATATTGTCTACACGATCTATATATTTTAATATGCTAAATATCAAAGTATTTAATTCAAAAATAAAAAAAAAAACACTCATTCAAGTGTATTTTTTATTTTACCCATTTCACATGCACGCACGTGCATACATGAGTATGGTGACCATACCTTCTTGTAGAAGTCCATTACATCTATCTATGTTCTAAATCTCACCCCATTTGGTTGAAAACCAAGGGAGTTATAGCTATTTAAAGTTTCGGCCAATCAGATTGCAGCGCACGTACACGCACATGTATGCATGTGCATGGTAACCATAACTTCTTGTAGAAGTCCATTATATATATCTATGCTCCAAATCCCATCTTGT